AAATCTTCCGGAAAGTTTCTGGAAGTTTTCCGGAAACTTTCCGGAAACCCTTCCAGCTAGGGATATTTCTTGAGTTACCTTTTGAAAACAACATAACCTCAAAATAACACTTGATTGAAAACATTTTTAAATTAATGTTCAAAGCGTATATTCAAATTCTATTAATTATATTTTTTATATTATAACTAATAAAATGTAAAATTAGTAAATTAATACGTATTTAGAGGTAAGAAATGTAAATTTGACATTTGTGATTTTAGAGAAATTTCTATGAGAATGGTAAACTGTCAAATATTTCCAACATGGCTGACCAGTGAAATTCATTTTCTTTATATCAGAGAAACAGTTTGACTACTGCATTGGAAATCATTCACTGAATTAGTTGAATAGATTCTTTATGTTATTTATTTTTAAAATTAGCTGTTTCCCACAGTAAAAATTTTTTTCCGTGTACCGAACTTAAACTTTTAAGGCGCCAACCTCAATATAGTATATCTTTTTTCTGTATTACATAGGTACATAGCTTATAGATTTTAGAAGTACACATTGTACGAAAGGGCATGCCCCGTTATGAATCTAAATAAATAAATAAACAAGATTATTATTTATATATATTAATCGTGATAATATGTCCTCACGTGAAGATATTGTATTTTTTATTCAAATTGTTCTATAATTCAAATTTTTATGTCAAAAGTTTGATAGTCAATTTTTAATTTATAAAATAAGTAAAGTAAGAAAAAGTAAACTTCGACGGCAAGCAAACGTTACTGATCTGAGTATTGCTAGTCGTGTTTGTTGACAATACGTAGTTTTCGTATTGATAACGAAACAAATATATGCTTTTGTGTAATAGCTGTGAGCATAATAAAAAAAATTTGCATTAAATAATTAAAAAAGTTATTTTGTATTGTTTTCGAAGAGCGACATATATGAGTGTTGATTCGTTCAGAAAAAAAGTGTTTCATTTTTTTTGCAGTGTAGTCATTACATTTTGTGATTTACCTTCGTGTTTAACCAAAATCCTGCATCACATAATGTGTTGGTCTTTTTAAAAAATGACTACCATTTCCGGTTGTGGGCACCTTTATGTTAAGGAGGCTCTACCATCTGACGATGATGTGGACTACTATCTCATCTATCTAAACTTTCTCCTAAGGAAATTGAAAGCCGCAAACTTCATTAAATGCAATGAATATAGTCGTTCAGTGCATTAGATGTGCGTTGATATGCGTGCCAGCTACTTCACATGCAAGCATTATGCTTCTGTTAGCGATGAGTATAGTGTGAAAACGTGACATCATTTTTGTTTTTTATGCCGGCGAAGTCTCTTAAAATAAAGAAACTTTCATTTCTTCTTTATTCGTTCCTTTAATATTTTTCCATTTTTAGCGGATTTTTCAAGAGTGCCCACAACCAGGTACAAAAATTTGTTTTTCAAAAAATTTTCATTTCACTAAATTTCTAATAAAACTTTTTTATTTGAAGGAATCAATTTAATTCCTTCACTGACAGTCACCTAAGACCTCTAGCTTTAAATTCGTACACATATATTTGTATAATCTGCACGTGGACAAATGTTATGAGGCAGAAACCTAAGGGTGCCCACAACCGGCACACTTCCCCTATATAAATATTTATTATTAAAAAATGATTGATGTTTGACAGATTTAATTTGCAAATTCTGAAAAAGTCAAGTTTTTGAAAAATTGTAATTAAAATATTACGATAACTATCACCTTGAACGTGATTGAATAACTTAGCCTTTTTCTAGGAGCGCATCTACAGATTGAAATAAAATAAATTGAAAACGTGCGTGATTAATAAAAAGCGTTATTATAATTCTTGTATTCAATTGCCAAATTCCATTTCTATTTTTTAATGTTTCAAAATTAAATATTACAAAATATTTTTAATCATTAATTAATTTGGTTCATTATGATCGTATCAAACAACGTGAAAAAATGAATAACTTTTTACTTGTTATATTTTTTAAACTTGCGTCAAAATTAATGTACCTAATATCCGTTTCATGATTGAAGTAATATAAATTACATAATTAGAATCATAATGCTCCAAATTTCGTCAAAAAATGAAAATCAACTTGCAAAAAATGCTTTTTTTACAAACTACAGTATAAAATATATTTTTATTTTATTGTACCATTATTCAAGAGTACAAATGTAAAATAGTAGTTAAAAATATTAAAAATTACAAGAACTAGAATTTTTTAAAAAATCTCATTTTTGTCGTTTTTCTGAAAAATTGTCTACTTTTAGTATTTTTTTCTGTAATAAAATATTTTTAATGAAACTTTTCAATTGTAGAAACTTATTCTTCAATGTTTAAAGAATATTAAACAATTTTTTTTATGTAAATTTAATTATATAAGTTTTTAAATGGTAGAGTTTTGAAAAGTGAACAGGGTCACAGTAACCGTGGAGTGTGCTACTTGTTCGAAAAGAGGTGTGTACTCCGAGGGTTAATTATAAATAAATTAATATTGATTGTCTTATGTTAATAATCATAATTAATAACAGTTAATAATGCAAAATGCTTTGCACATATTACAAAAATATATAAAGAAAAAAACAAAAGAAGAAAGAAATACACTTTCTTGTTTATATTTTATGAAGAAAAGCTCATATTTTTCGTTTTTGGCTTCTAACTTGCATGGCATTAAAATAAAATGATTCACGTAAAGAGATAATTGTTTTGGAAACAATTTTGAAGAAAATAAACTATAAATAAAATCTGTGCTTACAATTTGAAAATTTACATTTTCACAAGTGAAAATCGGCTAGTTCTGTAGATTTGCCTATATGATCGTAAAATGAGGATGAATCTGGAATAGTTATAAATTTTTATTATATGAAAAAGTTAGAGCAAAATAAATAACAAATTTTTTAATTACTTTTTTATTTTTCTCGACAATTTTGAAAAAATTTTTTTTTTTTTGAAAATTGAGGTTTATCCTCTTTTTACGATCATATTTTAACAAAAAATTTTTGGAATTATAAAATTATTTTTTTATTGGAATAGTGCATGAAACACAATAAAAGATGTACGCATCATAAAGCATTGAGTTAGAAGACAGAATGCATGTGCATTTGTTACTATATTTTAGTCCCTAAGCTTGTAGGCCCAAAGAGGAAAAGGGAAGGTTTCAGTAGGAGAGACAAGGCAAAAAGCAGAGGAATTTGTTGCGTGCTTGTATGTGAGCCGTAACGCGAAGAACTCACGGCTGTGTTGGTTCTCGTAGCCAGTGGAGTCAGTGGATGTGTACGTGTAAACTGCCGTCTTAATGCATGTATGAGAAATGCATTACTTTTAATTATTTCTAAAAGAAGGTTTCTTCTATTATATAAAGTTTTAAGTATTGATATAACAATATTATAGAATATATAAAGATTTATATATGTTTTATAACCACTGTCTTATTTTTTGTAGCTTCCTTAAAAGGAAAATAATAGAAAAATATCTGTTAAGTACCTTGTACGTAACACTTTTTAGTACTATTCTGTAAACAGTTAGTTAATAAAAATAATAATTTCTTTAAAAAAAAAAAAATTTTTGACATAAAATATTAAAAAAGACAAGTTAAAATTAGTTGTTGACGGTGGTACACTTCTTGACTCAAAAACGGTGGGCACGATAGAGAGCGCAATTCTTTTGTCTAAAATACAGTAATACCCCGACTTATACGCTTCCACGCTTTACGCGAATTCGGAGATACGCGATTTTTTATAACCGCGCGCATTAACTTTCTTACTAGAACTGCAAAACTACATAATATACAAACATGCACCCCGACTTACACGAATTCAACTTACACGGTCATCCCTCGGTCTCAACTATCGCGTAAGTCCGGGGTATTACTGTATAAAATTAAAGAAAAATTTTTAATTTCACATATAGGTATGTAGTTTCTATTTGATCTAAGAAAATTCCAAAGAAATGGTAAAATTCTAATATTTTGAGAGATAAAACGAAAAAATTATTATTTTTCTAAATAATGACTTTAATTGGTTTTCAAAATTATTTAAAAAAATTTTTTTAGTTTAAATAGAAGAGGGATTAATACTAAGTAAAACAAGACATCATTTATTAAATTCGGTCAAGGCGTTTTTTGTCAATTCTGCCCACCAGTATTTTACAGCAAAGGATGAATATGGTTGTCAAACACCCACGGTTAACGTTTTGCACACGCCAAAAATCAATGCAAAACTAAAAAAACACTTAAGATTGGTCTTGGATGCATTTCCTGCAGATATAAGCAAAAAAACATCGATTTTTTCGACCATGTAAAGCAGGATCCCTCTTTAAAACTTGATTAAATAATAATAATTATGTCCAAAATTTTTCGAAATAGATTTTGGGCTTTTTACTGGCATGTATTCCACTGCAAAATTTGGAAGTTTCAACAAAATTGAAGAATTAGGGACCACTTTGATTTTTTAAACATGGACTGACCCTTATGTAATCAACGAATTAAAATACATATCATATAACAAAGTTCAGCTCTTTAGATTAAATAGTGTAGATACTAGGGGGAGGGTTTCGAAATTGTCAACAGACACGAAAGTCTGACCCTTCATCTTTTAAGAAGTCTTAACTTTAATTTAGTATGGTATCCAACTTTTTTGAGAAAGGCAATTTTAACTTGATGTCCCTTTTTGTCTAGGAGCATAGTGGGAGGTAAAATATTAACTAATTAAATTTACGTTATTTCTTTTGAACTGTTCCATTGTTTCGTGTCTTGCAACAATCGTACTTTTACCCACTGATAATAGCTTGCATAATTGACTTATTTTTATCTTAATAATTATTTTCTAGTATTATAGCAATCCACAATCTTCGTAGACTGTTCATTATCTAGACCGTTTACGAATCACAAACGTGAAAAGCCTCCATCACTCGACTCGAATGGGAAAGTTGGGGGCGTCTTGGTGCAATTGGTGGGGAGTGTAGAAGGAATTGAGGAAACTGTAGGGTTGGGGGGTCTTGTCTCTATACCACTGGTTGTACTACTGTCACTTGTAGTTTAGTTTCTTTCTCAGAACAAGTTCGATATAAGCGTGACGAGAGAAATACGTTTTCGCGCAAACAAGTATAATTTATTATTGGGAATGGTGGTGCTACATGATCTGATTTTTCTTTTATGTAAGGCATGAATCTCGTTTTTGCTGTAATCTGTGCACTTGTGCAATACACTAATGGTGTAGGGCTAGAAGTAATCTATCAGTGGAAATATCTGGATTGGGTTTGGCCAAACGTCCCATTAACTGGCAGTGAATTTATATTTGGAAATGCCTTTACGCAGGATGTAGATGTTGACAAAATTGGACGGGTTTTTGTAACAAGTCCACGCTGGCTCAAAGGTGTTCCAATTTCACTTTCCACTTTATCTAATCTAGATGGACCTGGAGGTCCTTTGTTACTTCCATATCCTGATTGGACATGGTTTGTGCCCAACACGTGCGACAGCATCATTTCTGTCTACCGAGTTGCTGTAATTATATTTTTCTCATTTTCATAATCACGATATTTATCATATACTTACAACTTTTTTGCACTTTCTTTTCTACATATATGTACACTAAAAAAAGTAGCAGAATGTTTTATTTACTTAAGCAATTTTTGCCTAAGTACAAAAGCAATACACAAAAAGCAATTATTTCTTTAAAAAAAGCAATTTTTTCTTGGTTACTAATGATACAATCACATATTATTTGAGAGTAAAATTTTTATTTGATTATTTAGAGAATAATGTATATAATATAATAATAAATTTATTTATTGAAATATTTAATTTATTCATTGAAAAGGTTAAACAGTTTATGGGTGATTCTCCGCTTAGCGCACAATTTAATGTCCCTCGTCTTTTTTTAAAAAATCAGTTTTATATATTGGAATGAATCCAACGTGGAAAACTAATTTCCATGCTGACAAATAAAAGTCTATAGTAGTTTTCATTTAAAAGTTTATAATTTTGCTTAAAAATCTGTTTTAAGGTGCCAAACCGTCATGGTACAATCAATCCCCACTACCATTTCATATAAAAAAATTTTATTTTTTTTAGTAAAATATAGTAATAAATATAATAATATATTTATTATTAAATATTATGAAATATAATAAATATTTTATTATCGTCTAAGTTAGTAGAATTGAGAAAAACAACACTTGTGAAAAAAAAATTATTTTTAAATATTTTTGTAGTTCTTGTTCCTCGTTTTCACGTCATGGTATAATCACTTTGTAAAATTTTATAATTTACATAAAAAATCAAATCTAAATTCTACTTAACATCAGTAAAAAGTATCAATAAACTCTCCTGAATGAATTATACTAAGAGAAAATTATTTTTTAATGATTTTTTTTGTTTTTTACGTGTTATAAGCAGGAAAGTTTATCACACTCATTTTGAGATGCAACAAAAATGAGTCCAAGTTTCTTCTGTGTAAAAACTAATGACATGAAAAAAGAAAAAAAATAAAATCAATAATAATTTGTTTAAAAAAATAGTTTTCTTTGCTATCGTCAATATAAGGATAATATTTTTTTATTGTTTATTATTTAAAAATTAAAAAATTATGTTTTACATTTTTATTAATTCTATTTACAATTCGAATGAAAAGGAACTTTTATTTTCACTATTTTATTAGTAATATTATTTTATTTTAATTGAATAAGGAAAATAAGAGCCACTTTGTTTTAATTAACTACAAATTCGATTTGACTTATGTAAACAATTTAATTGATAAATGATAAACATTTGTTATCTTAGTAACTAAGGCAATAAATTGTTTTTTTCTTAAGAAACAATTCCTTTGTTAGTATTACTTTTGTACTTTGGCAAACATTGATTAGGAAAAAAGCACATTCTAATAATTATATTTTTCAGTGTGAATAATATGATTCTGTGGTATAAAAGGATTGGTAAAAATTTTAAAAAATAAAAAAAGAAACTTGTAAGAAACCACTGCTAAGTTATGATGTACATTTGATTTCTAATAAATTAATAAATGTGTCTGAAAATACTCAAGAAAGTCAAAGAAAAATATTTATAGTTGTCCTTGTATTTAATAATAATTATGAGTTGTGCACCAAATAGTGTATAACCAATTATATTATAAGTACATAAAAGTTATAAATTAAAATTTTCTAAGTACAAATACTTGAAATTTAGATTGATGAATGCGATCGACTCTGGGTGGTCGACAGCGGAAGGGCTGAGTCAAAAGCTGTATGTCCCACAAAGATATTGATTTTTGATTTAAAAACTGACCAACTGATTCACAAATATGTGATACCAGATTATCAAACATTTTCGGGAAAAGCATCTTTGGTAACGCCAATAGTAGAAATTGGCAAATCTTGTATGGATGCATATCTTTATATAGCAGATGTAGAACAAAATGGAATTGAAATTTACGATCTAAAATACGATCGTTCATGGAGATTAAATAATACAAGAGGAAATGCCTTTGGTCCTGATCCTGAAACTAAAGCAATGTTCATCACCATTGCAGGGGAACAATTTGATCTAACTGATGGTGTATTAGGAATGTCTCTATCTCCTTCAGGGTTTTTTGATAAAAGGTAATATTGAAATTCAAAGATTTATACATTAAAATTTTTTTAAATGTCATGATAACAAGAAATTTTCAACAATTTGTATTAATTAATCGCTTTTTTAATTTTTACTCTGCATTGCTTCAGTTCATTAACAGATTTAGATTTTTAGTTTAAAGAATGTCGAATTTTAAAGAGAGGAAAATTACCCTAAGAGCACTAGATATCCCAGGATATTATTATAGAAACACTAGTGGATATCTTTGGGATATCTAACTGCTATTATGAGGATATTCTAGTGAGCGGCTGTTTGAGTATCGTATGGATATCTGATAATATCTAGAAAATAAAGTCGATACAGATTCAAATTTTAATTTATTTTAGAGATAATCTCAGGACATTCTAGGAATATTCTTAGGATATGCTGAAGATATCCCGGAGACATTTTGATGATATCCCAAAATATCCTACAAAACGGCGGTTTGGATATCATCTGAATATCATAGGATATCATGTGGACGTTTTTGGGATATCCTACATTTTAGCACAAATTAAATGTTTCTTTGTATTTAAAATCCTATTTTAAAAGTAAGGCTTATAATTTAATAACAACTGGATTTGAAAAATGCATGCGGATACAATTATTAACCTTATTAACCTTATTATTACCTTATTAACCTTTTTTGTATACGTTAGATGAAAACTACGTAACTACAGATTTAATGATCATAACTGATTCATGCAACCTTTTAAGCAATAACTTATATGTTTTATATTATTTGTTTTAAAGAAAACATGGTAAATTTCTTTATTATTAAGTTTTACCCAACAAAACAGTTAGTTTCCGGGAATAGAAATTCATTTTGTTATCAAAACATTTTACTAAAAAAAGTATGAATTTAATCACAAACATAATTTTTCTAACGATACTCTATAAATCTAAATAGGTAAAAAGTTACTAATTGAACGACAAACAGTCGTCCACTAAATGATTTAGTAATAATTTTATTAACAATCAGTGGAATTTTACTTAGTAGAACTGTTTTATTAATAATCGATAAAACAGTTTTACTAATTTATTTAGTTTCAAAATAAATTTTTAACAATTATTTTGGGTATGTTTACATAATAATCTATTTATACAATTAAATTAGCTCAATTTGAACAAATATCAATCAAAAAATTTGTATTATCTAAATTATTTTCATGCTTTTTTATTAAATTTTTATATCTGTCAAACTAACCTCGTCTCTAATCTATAGTCAATTTGGTCAAATTATGTTCGAAAAATTTCAAACAATGTTTATAAAAACTATTTAATGATAGCTTCCTCAGTAATTTAAGCCACTTTAACACACATTCTCATGATTTTAAAAAAATGGTACTCTTTAAAAGAAAAAAAATTATTTTTTCTATTTATTTATTAAATAAATATTTCAATACACAAATTTTTTTCAAAAATTTGAGATGAACGTTCGATGCAAAATTTATCTGCCTTTAATTTACAAAAAAATTGAGCTGAAACTGTTCAAAACTGTAATGAACAAATCATGCAATTTTTCCACGGGCGTGCTTTTTGTCCCACTGTGATATGTAGAGAAAACTTACATTTTAATGTTAAAAAATGTTAAGGGGAATATTTTCATTAAATCAAACATGTTCAAGAAAAAAATTTGAATTAATAAAAATAAATAAATTATTTACAGATACCTCTATTTCAATTCCTTGGCAAGTTTTTACCAGAAATTTACAGACGTGAGTTCGTTAAAAGAAAGTCTGTATAAAGAGCCGTTGGTTTACCAATCGATTCAGAAGAGATCGAGTCAAGCTGGCGTTCAGGCGACTTCACGACGTGGCGTATTATTTTTCCAGCTGGTGCAGAAAACCGCCATAGCTTGTTGGAATATTGAAAAACCGTTTACACCAGAGAATATTGTAACGATCGCTCAGGACGAAGAAAAACTCCAGTACGTGAGCGGCATCAAAGTTATTGTAAACAAATACGGAGTCGAAGAATTGTGGTTTAACACAAATAGATTACAAAAAACAATAAACAAAACACTCAGGCCAGACGAGATAAATTTCCGAATCATTCGTGGTAATGTCGATGAAATAATTCAAGGCACTAAATGTGAGACCAGTGGTCATAGAAACCGTGCACCTGATATTTCATCCTGGCAACAAATATGATCTCGAATCAAACTCATGATTAGTCTGAGACTGAATTATTATGAAGCATTATTTAATCGTATATTTAATTATTTTGTAAATAAATATTTCTGTATATTGAATAAAACTTAGAAAAAAAATTGGTGATATCAGTATCACTAACAGAAATAAAATTTTAGATCTGAAAAGAATAATAAATATTTTATAGCAACTTCATTTTTTCCAGGCTAAACAATATTCCAATAATAATCTTAATAGAGTCAATCCTCTACACTGACGGATGGCGTTGCATGATTTGAGCACTTCCAGTGTCGTATTCTTTGAGATTATGAAGAAATGAAAAAACAAAGATAAATAAATTTTTGAAATACCTTTATTTAATACATGAGGCATTTCATGTGAATTCACCCAAGTAACAAATTTGATTTCTTGAGATGAGGTTTAAAGTTTGCACAATTCTTAGTCCTAATCAGTACAAATTATAAAATGAAATATTATTGATTTATTTAAATAATTGTATGTTGTAGAGGGAGTTAAAAATGTTTATAATACATGGAATTTGTAGCGACTTTTACCCACATTTAAGTGGTACTAGCAGAGCTTGTCGCGCGCTATATTTCTACTTTCGACTAATGACACTTAACAGCTTGTTACTTCTTGTGTGTATAAAAATCTAACAAGACTTTAGGAATTTTTTTGACGACACTATTTAAGATATAACTTTTTTATAGGGAAAATTTTCTCAAGTGTACCAATGTCAAAATTATAAGTTGTTAGATCGGGCTAATATTTTCACAGTATTCAGTACTATGAATGAGTACTTCAACTAAAATGTATTATGAAATTTTATAAAAAATTGTAGAGAGGGTTGAAGATTTTGGATAAGTATGTACAGTGAGTTTTCTAAAAAAATCATAGCTTTTACACTCAGGCGCAAAATTTCAGTACATTTGTACTGATTGCTTTTGAATGCTGTCTTCACTTCAAATCTAAATATTTTTGTAAGAAATTATGTAAAAACTATCAAACTAGGATCATTTTAAAGTTTAATAATTATTTTTTTAAGCGAACTTTATCTTCCGTTTACAAACAGTTGTTAGTAAAGAAATTATTTACTGGTCCAAAACAATTGCTAGAACAATTCCAATTAATATCTGGGTCATTAAAATTAATTTACTTCACAATTCATAAAAAGTAACCACAGCCGATAATAATTTATGGAATAACCAATTTTTGTATGTAAATTTCCAAGAAAAATTCTTCAAAAATTAAATTGTTATTGCAACATGTCAGAATACGAGATTTGTTTTATTTTCTTCTTAAATTTGTTTAAAAATTATTTAATATATATAAATTTTTAAATGTTGTAGAAAATAGTGGGTATTAAATATATCATTTTCTTTAGTAGTTATTTAGATTTTTAAAATTAAACATTTCTATTTATTTTTATTTAATCATTGTTTTCCATTTGTTTATAACATTTTGTAATAAAAAATTTAGTAAAATGAAAATATACTAGAAAAGTAGTACTTTTTTGCAACAGCAATTTTAGTTTTAAATCTATTAAAGTATTATATACTTTTAATCAAGTAATAATTATTTTACAATTTGTTACAAACTGTTAAAAATGAGGAGTGATAAATTATACAGGCACACAAAAAAAAGTCAAAACCCAGAGGTCACACCCCCCTATCCCCATGTTTTTGGGGTCGCGAAACCGAATATGACCATAAAAAATTTTTTCATCACCCATTTTCCCGCTACCACCCCCTTGCACCTGCTCCCGGGGCACAGTGGGACCAAACTGCAATTTACTGTTCATAATAGTCTAGAGACTTCATTTTTAACCGATTTTACTAAACTTTGTTTTAAATAAAAGATTATTAAATTTTGAAGAGATTTGTCGAGGCCGAATTTTAAATTTCAATTTGTTTATATTTATTTTTTTATTGCAAAGTTTAACAAAAGCATCTATTTTTAAGAAAAAGTTATCTCCAGCCTCTATAATCAAATGGCACGTGCTAAAAACTTTTTAGAAACACACCTAGAGTACTCTGTAAATTGTAAAAAATTTGTGCAGGTAAATATTTGAATGTTATAAACAATTAATATTAACAAATAATTAAGTTTACAACAAATTGTTAATGTGGACAAACGCTTTGATAGATTTTGATGAAATTGTATACTTAAGGGTTTTTGGGGTCGCTGATTACGAATCCAAAGTTGGTTTTTCAAAATTCAAAATGGCGGATCCAATATGGCGGATGCTATTTTTGAAAATCGATTCAATTTTGCTAAAAATCGTTACTCGGGGGTCTTTGGGGTCGCTGATTACGAATCCGATGTTGGCTTTTCAATATTCAAAATGGCGGATGCTTTTTTTTAAATCGATTCAATTTGGCTAAAAATCGTTATTCGGTGGTTTTTGGGGTCGCTGATTACGAATCTGTAATTAGTTTTTTAAAATTTTTAATGAATGATATAATGTGTAAGGCGCTTTTCTTAAAAATTGATTAGATGTACTTGAAACTTGTTACTCGGAGAGGTTTTTTGGGTTTTTCAAGTATAATTAATATTTTCAGTATATCGAAATCTTTTACATTATTAATTCACAAATGTTATAAGCTCTTATAATGGAAAACGAATTGTTCTCACTTATAGGTGAAAAAGCTTTAAGCCATCTTGCGGCAAAGATGAAAAGCTTATACTTTTACCGCGAAATTTAAATCACTAATAAGACTAACAATCTGTGCTAAAAATCCTTACACTATGCAGAATTATTGTAAAAAATTGAAAAATACGATAATGTTAAAAAATTGTTTAAATCAATAATATTTTTTTAATTTGCTAAAAAATTTACTATATTTTGATGGATTTAAACATACTTTAAAGTATACAAATAAATCACAATTTGTAAAAAATTATTACTTTTTTGAATTATTCAGTATCAAAATAAGTATAAATGAATAAAATTGTCAAAACAAGACAATAAAAATCTTCAGTAAATTTTATAACCTTTATTTAAAAACGTATATAAAATTAATTTAAAAATTAACGTATAAAACATAATTTGAATTTGATTTTTATCATATTCTCAACGCCATTTTGTATTCTTAAAAATCTGACGTCATCTTTGTAATCAGCGACCCAGAAAACCCCCCGAGTAACGATTTTTAGCAAAATTGAATCGATTTTCAAAAAAAGCATCCGCCATATTGGATCCGCCATTTTGAATTTTGAAAAACCAACTTTGGATTCGTAATCAGCGACCCCAAAAACCCTTAAGTATACAATTTCATCAAAATCTATCAAAGAGTTTGTCCACATTAACAATTTGTTGTAAACTTATTTATTTGTTAAGGGGTTAAACCACTCTAGAGCGTCAAAAAGAGGTTCTAATTTCAACATTTTTTTAAAGAAAAGTTTAAAAGTAATGAAAAATATGTTTACATATCTCTATCAGGTACACTTTAAAGAGAAAAAAATATACTTTATAAATTTTTTTTGTTTAAAAATAGCAGATGTACATGCACGTGATGGAAACCCTTTTTAAAAAGAATTCATTCGCGACCGGAAAGGTTTTTGGTACAATTTTCATCCTAGAACAGAAAACAAATTTTTTTCTATTTTTACATCTCAAAAGCTAGAGAAAGACGTAGGAGATTTTTTTTAAATCGATTTTTGCAAAAATGGTGAACATTTTATGGAAAAACTGAATTTTTGACTGAAAAAAATAGGCACTAAATTGTTTATAACTAAAGAAATATGCAACATAAAAAAAATCCCCTACGTCTTTCTCTAGCTATTGAGATGTAAGAATAGAAAAAAATTTGTTTTCTGTTCTAGGTTGAAAATTGTACCAAAAACCTTTCCGGCCGCGAAGGATTTCTTTTTACAAAGGGTTTCCATCACGTACATGTACATCTGCAGTTTTTAAACAAAAAAAAATTTATAAAGTATATTATGTTCTCTTTAAAGTGTACCTGATAGAGATATGTAAACATATTTCTCATTACTTTTAAACTTTTCTTTTAAAAAAATGTTGAAATTAGAACCTCTTTTTGACGCTCTAGAGTGGTTTAACCCCTTAATATGAATTGTTTATAACATTCGAATATTTACCTGCACAAATATTTTCAATTTACAGAGTACTCTAGGTGTGTTTCTAAAAAGTTTTTAGCACGTGCCATTTGATTATAGAGGCTGGAGATAACTTTTTCTTAAAAATAGATGCTTTTGTTAAACTTTGCAATAAAAAAATAAATATATAAACAAATTGAAATTTAAAATTCGGCATCGACAAATCTCTTCCAAATTTAATAATCTTTCATTTAAAACAAAGTTCAGTAAAATCGGTAAAAAATGAAGGCTCTAGACTATTATGAACAGTAAATTGCAGTTTAGTCCCACTGTGCGAGGGTAAGAATTTCAGTTTTAAAAAAAAGTCGTGTAGGGTGTCTATTTCTATGTTTTTTGGGTCGCTAAAACCAAAAAAGACTACCAAAAACAAATTCTTCCCTCCCTTAACCCACTACAACCTCCTTAACACACCCAGGGTGGAGGTTGCAATTTAAATTTTGACTTAAAGTCGAGTGCCGTATCTGATCCTATATTTTGTGAGGCGCTGAAACTAAAGAACACGTGAGAAACCTGCCATTTGAAATAAGCTTTGAAAAACATGCCAACTCCGAATTGACGTTCATTTCTTTTTTTTTAGGTTGACATTTAGCAGTACAGAAAAAATTCGAAGAAAAAATTATAAATTTATACAAAAATGAATTTTCTATTTGCATTTTACATATTTGTTATTTTATTTTAAAAAGGAATATGTTTGACTAATTTATTGAATTAATTTGTTGATTATTTATTATTTGATGGACAACTTCTTTCGTGCACTTCAAATAAAAAAAATGAACGTCAATTTGGAGTTAACATGTTTTCCAAATCTCAGCTCAAATGGCAGGTTTCTCACATGTTTTTTAAAACGGCGCGTTTTTCACGACTAGTCTGAATTGGCACCTTTCTGCCCCCAACCGACGATTTGTTGACTGGAGAAATAGGTTCACCCTGGAGAATTGGTGCGTTTACCCTATATAATTTTTAGATTAAAAGTATATTTTTACATTTTTATAAACTGTAAAATAGTAAATTAACATTTGTGTCAGTTCGAATATTTAAAAATTCTTTTAATTTACAAAATTATATTTGTAAAGTAAAACAAAACTTATTTTTTGAATTAAAAGAAAATTTCTTTTGCACATGGATGAAAATTTAAATAGTTCCTTTTATTTTTTTCTATTTTTTTAATCGAAATTATTATTTTCTTTAATCGAAATGAATGAAAAAATTTAAAAATGATTAACAAATCATTTAAAAATTAATTTTTTTATGACCTATTTATTTGTTAATATTAAATGTTATAAACAAAAGAGAGTAAAAATTATTAGTTATATCAAAAATGCTGTATTTCTACCTAAAAAATGTGTGTTAACTTTGATTATAATTATCCAAAAATAGAAAAATTCTATTACAAAAGAATTTTATCTTTCCATTTTTTTATAGTAATTAGTTGTGAAAAAATATAAAATTAAGGAAAAATTTATTAACATGTAGTGTATTTTTTTCACTATAGTAATTTTAATTTTCCGGAATCGAAAATTGGAGTCTATTTTTAACAAAAATTATTCATTGTTCTCAATTTGTCTAGAGAAAATTCAAAAAATTGTAAAAAAAATATTTATAAAGTTGTATATTTTATGTAGATGCAAATGTTAATTTATAAAAATAGCATATGATGTGAAATATATGATTAATTCTATTTGATTTAAATTTATTTCGCACAAAAAATTAGAGAATTACATAAATATTTTGTTTTTAAAAATTTCTTACCTGCAGCTAAAGTAATAATAAATATTATAAAGAACACCGAAAAAAATCTCGACGGTATTATTAACTATGACCCTATAGTTAATCTTAACCTAGTAAAAGTAATAAGGATTCCTAATCATTATGGTTAGGATCGCTAGGTTGATTCAACAAATTAAAGCCTGGCAAAAACAACCCTGCAAATCCTAGTCAAATTGACTAGGATTTTAGTAATTTTGCCTATTTCCATAATGCGCACGCGTCTGCTTCTGTTTTGACAGTGTTTACTTCTATATTTTTCACGTCATTTATCGTAATTTCGTAAAACGATTTTTTATCATTACTCGCGTCTATTTTTTGTACATAAAATGGAGTTCTTACATTTACCAAAATTGCTGGTTTCTCGGAACCTCTGGAAATATAGATAGTCCATGTTTTGGAAAGTAAACTATTTAATTATATTAGTCAATTCTTTCAGACTTTTTTGGTTAGGTTTCAATATAAATCGTCGGAATTTTTACGCACGTGGTGACAACATTTTTACTATTTTAATCGCGCAGTGTGTTTGAAAATGTACCCTTGCAATAATTTGTGTATTTAAATTTATTTTCATTTAAATGGCATAAATAATTAAAAATAAATAGTTTTTGACAAGTGTATAAAATTGTGTACTTGAGATGTATAAAACATCATCTGATTAAGTAGGGAAAAACAAAAATAGAAACAAAATTACAAATAAGTTATTAATTGTAATTAAATGTAATTTATTTTGGATAATTAATAAGTCAAAAATAATGTAATGAACATTATATATCTTCCATTATCGTCTCATTGGCATTCAGGCTTTCCTATGAACAATAGTCAACCTTAAAAGATAACATGCTTAACAGAATAAAAATAGAAGTCTTATTTTCATGTGACATGTAATGTAAAAATTATATTATTGTTATATATGTTAAAAGTGAAACAAGAAACTTCACGCGCGCGTTATAATTATAATCAGCAGAAGATGAAAAATTATTTTTTGAGCGAACTTTAACTTCTGTTTACTAACAATTGTTAATTAAAAAATTTTGAACTGATCCTAAACTATTGCTAGAACAATTGCAATTACTATCTGGGTCATCAAAATTAATTAAATTCACAATTCATAAAAAGTAACCACAGCCGATAATCAGCAGAAGATGAAAAATTTTTTTTGAGCGAACTTTATCTTCTGTTTACTAAAAGTTGGTACAAAAATTGTTTACCTACTGATCCTAAATTCCATACGTTTTTCAGGTTTTCCAAGCTGCGTGGGAACCATGCAATATTAAATTATTCTTTTTTCTGTATCTCATTTTAAGTCTGTTCTAATGAGAAATTAAAGCTTATTATAAAATTTTTTCAATTCTTTATTTAAGTTGCAATACTTATTATCCTTGTATCTTTAATTCAAAAATTAATAAAATATTATTTGTTATAATGTTAATTAATCAATTATTTTAAAAAATCTATAATTTTACTGACAAATTGATAATTATCTTATAATGTAAAAAAATTTAATCATCTTTTAATAAGTCTCTTATTCTATTTAGTTTAAAATACAATTAACCCCCCTACGGTTTTATCATTTTTCAATTTTGCAGGAAATAAATTTATAATTTTGTTAACATTAATTTACTATTTCATTTTTACTTTGGTGTTAAATACAACTCATTAGCTTCAAGTTACACTTAGTCTTTAATTTATATGATTCTCGAATTAAATTTTTTTAAATAAATAAATGATACACCCCGAGTATACTTTTGTTAAATCGTAGGGAGGTTAACTAAGTGTGAGTTTTAATTTTATTAAATTAAGTAGACATTAATTATTATCAATTTTTAAATAAAAATAAAATTGTATAAATTAATTAAAAAATGTAGTCAACTTTTCTATTAAACATTAACAAAATTCTAATAAAAAACTATTATTTATTTGAATGTATTTGATCGAGAGTAATAGCCGCAGCGGTTTTGAGATTCCAGTAGACGGGAAATGTTATGCCAAACAAAGAAGAATCAGGACGTCCACGAACAGCGCAAACAGCTGAAAGTGGCACGCTTTTCATCTAACGCGGGTGCAGGAATTAAAAATTCACGACCCGCCAAGCAACTTGGAATTTGACAATGCAATTAGAACGAGAATTGAAGAAAATCAAAATTTCCTTTAATAAATGTTATTCACAGATGAAAGCACATTTGAAATCGATGGGATTTGGAACACTTGTAATTTTCACCACTGGGCACTACAGAATCCCCATCTGGTGTCCGAAAGAGGCTTTCTAAATCGATTTAAATTAAATTTATTCGCTGGAATGATAGAAAATAAATTGGTAATTATGCAAATTTTTTTAAATTATAAATCGAAATATTTTCTTAATCTCGAATCTATGTAAAAAAAATTCTTTAAAACAGGTAAAAATTGTCCTGCAAAGGAGTCACTCCCCCTTAATTGAATTCATGAGAAGTATTCATTAGTTTTGAAAGTAATTGAATTTTTTGCGAAGAATTTTATCAAATTATTTTAAAAAAATTGAATTCTTTTTGAAAACTTTTATTAAAATATTAGATATTTAAAATAATTGAATTTAAAAATTTTGTTGAATATAATTGAATTTTGAAGAAGAATTTTATTATTTATAAAAATAATTAAAATTTGTAAGCATAATTAAATTTCTTAATCTTAATATTTTCATTATTTTATTCTACTTATAGATTGGTCCTATTATAATCCAAGCCAACATGGATGGGCCTAAATACAAGCGCCTTATGAAAACTATTCGGCAAAGATTAAGAGATGCGGGGTTTACAGACCAACAAATCGCCAACAAACAACAAATATGGTTGCAGCACGATATGACGATAATGTGACATACCACACTGTAAGAAGAAACAGAGATTGGCTATAACAGTGCACTTTCGGAATAGGATCATTGGACAGGGAGGAGCAATTCGTTGGCCTGCAAGGTCACTGGATATAAATCGACTAGATTTCTTTTTATGGGGCTTCATCAAATCAAAAATTTAGAGGCATACTGTTCCCAATGTGGAAATAATGAAAAGAATGATACAAAGAGCCGATAGGGAAATGTGACGCGTCGCGAAGAAAAGCACCTAAGAAGCAATAAACCGATTTTTGGATTATGATTGTTTCAGATAAATTAAAGATTACTTTTTAACTATCTGAACTAAAAATTAATTTTTATCAAATACTTATCTGTAATACTTTCGTAATAATTATTTACAAAACAGAAATTTGTGCTAAGAGTTGATTTTTTCATTCCTTTTTTCCTCCACCTGTAAAATTTTCGATATGCTTCTTAGGTGTTTTTCTTCGCGACGCGTCACAAATAACGCCTTATATGATCAAAAGGAGTATTAATGAAATGAAGAGAAGGTGTAGACTTCTCGTTGCGGTCGACAGTGGGTACATTAAACACCTTCTATAATCAATTATTAAACGGTACATTCAAATTCAAACTTAAAAATATTTAATCCAATTTTTTACACATTCCAATTCTAACTTTTCAAAAAATTACTTAGGTTTTCTGGACAGACGAATCAAAATTTGATCTGTTTAGGTCGAAAACAAGGGTATATGTTCGAAGACGTTAAAATGAAAAGTATTTATCCGAATGTGTAACACCAACTGTCAATCATGGAGGTGGTAACATTATGGTTTAGGGTTCTTTTGGAGGTTCAAAAGTTGGAGATTTAATTGGTGTTAAAGGGATTTTAAATAAAGAGGGATATCACAGCATTTTACAAAGACATTTGTTACCCTTAGGATTAAAAAATATTGGTAAATGTTTTGTTTTCCAGCAGGACAACGATTCAAAACATACTTCGAAACTCTGTAAAAATTAGAGATGCATTACGAGCGAGACTCGTAGCGGCGAGAACGAGTATCTCGCTAAAAAAGACAATGAAAACAATTGAATGGTTATATAACATTCAATTGTCTTAATTGATAACTTGATAATTCGTTTAAAAAAATTAACATTTTGTCCTTATTTTTATTTTATGAATGATATTCATTTGTCAATTAATTTTTTATAAATATTTATTTGCAACTCGTCAATTTATCCAAAATACTTCATCTAGGGCTCATTGGATGGGGATTTTGTAATGCTTTACAGTAGTAAATTCAGAATTGCGCTCACTTCATTTGGTTGTAAAATATTTCAATTTTAATTAATAAATTAATTAATTAATAATAATTCGAAAACAAAAAAACGTGATTTTTTTGTTTCACATATTGAAACTACAAATCTTAAGCTTTCTTTTGGCACTCCGAAAAAATTTTTTAAAATTATTTTTTCTTTCAGGCATTGACATATTCCATGTTGTCTTCAAATCTAATTAATAAAGGAATTTTAAAAATTAATTATATTTATTATGATTCAGATGATTGGCTTTTTGACAATGCCATTAAAATTTCTTTTTTTTAAATAAGCAAATATATTGTACAAAAAATTTGCATTTTTAATTTAAAACTAAATCTAAATTAACTCTTTCTATTTATAATAGTAATTATTTTTTAAAATTATTATTATTAATTATTATTATTATATAATAAAATGGAGCTTAACGATAATAATATCCTCCGGATATCGATAGACATCCCTAGAATATTCCAGGGATATCCAAACCGCTGCAAACAAGTCGATATTCCCAGGATGTTCTAAGTATATCCTGAATAACTGTATGTTATGAGGGATTCTGATGAAGAAGTTCTGGGAATTTTTTTAAAATAGGAGAAAAATTATAATGAAGGAAAAAGAAGATAGTTCTTAAATATAAAGTAAATTGTATTTAAAAAAAAATTTTTATTTATGTTAAATATTTCAATAATTAAATAAATAAAATATTTCATAATTTCTTCTCCATTCTATTTATTTTAATATTTTTTTAAAACTTCAATTGTTAATTAAAATTTAACTTTAGAAATAAATCATTTTACCTTTTTGTACAAAAATTTTCCCGCTTTTTTTACTCAAAAAATTGTTGTTTCCATTTTTAAAAGAAAAAAATAAACTTGTCGAAAATAAAAGAACGATTAAATCAAAAAATGAAGAAAAAATAGAAGACACACAAAAAAAAATAAAAATGAAGAAGAAATAGAAGATACACAAAAAGAAAAAAATCCTCCAAAAAATACAGCGAGAAATTTAAAAAGAAGATTAAAAGAAAAGGATCAAAAAAAGGTTATTTCATTAAAATTTTTATAATATAAATTTTAAATTTCTTTAAAATTAAATTATTTTCTAAGTTTTTAGTTTTAATTTTTAGAAAATATGATTATATTTAAAAATATTTCATAGAATTTGAAAAATAAAATCCATCAAAATATAAAACAATAATTTAAATTAAATTTGACGAAACTTATAATTATTTTGAATTTTAATTTAATTTTATTTAAATATTTATGAAATTTAATACCTCTATATAATAATAAATACAATATATATTTATTACATTTTTAATTAACAATTAATTTATAATTTCAGATTGAAGAAAAATAAATTCTATAAAGTAGGCATCTAGACCAGAATATACACAGCACCAAGATCTATCACAGAATTTAGACCATACCCAAGAATAACATCATATAGAAGACCCACACAATACTACACACACTCATTACAAGCACCTTACGCGATTCCTGGTCATTTCCCCGAATACCTTTCCCCAAATAGATATTTGCCCGAATACATTTTTCCCGAAGCCCATTTCCCAAAAAAATATATTAAAAATATTCCCCGAAAAACTATTTCCCCGAAAAAATATAAAAAATAAATGTATTAAAAAAAAGACGAATGTAAAAAATAAAAGACAAATTACTGTATTGACAGTAACCCACATTTTCAGAACAAATTATGGTGTCTTCCTTAAACTTCCTATACGTTCAAAATTTTAAAGTTATGAATATGAATTACGAAGTTGAATTGATTAGTGAAAGAAGACTAGCTATAGATGGATTTCTATATATGTATATAAAATCCAAAAGGGAGACGGAAAAACATATTGGGATTGTAAAAAAGTGAGGGATAAAGAATGTTTGAATTTGAAAGCTTATTATTTCTACTAAAAAAATAAAAAAGAGTTTTTGATTTATCTTTTTTAGTTTCACTTAGAGAAAATTTTTAATACACATATACCAAATTTCGAAATCACAATTTTCCAAGGTAAATCCGCTCACTTTATCTTTTCAAGACGGTAGTTTTATTTTTTAAATCTTAAAATTCGTCTTATTCCCGTCTTAAGTATGATTTATTATTGACAAACTATGAGTTCTATAAACAATTCTATAAACAACAAATTGGTTTAATAAATAATGAATATAGGTTTCATGAATTACAACTATGGATTTAAATAATGTTATATTTTATTAAGAGAAAGTGAAATGTACGAAGCTGAAAAAGTTCTATAGAATTTCACTAAAACGATTCTACAGAATTTCTACAAGAATTCTAGTAAACCTTATTTCATGAATAAAAAGGATGTGACGTCTTTAGTTGAATGCAGGGGATTAGTTGAAATTGTCTTTTACATAAAGATTAATATAGGCGATAAAAACCACTTCTAGACATTTTAAATAATTTCTCAAACGAACTCTTTTGATAACATAATTTTTATTGTTTTTTAATACTTTTTCTTAAATCTAAGAAGTTAATATTTGGAATTTTTAACTTTACTTACCTTTGACATTTAATGAATAGTTTATTGTTATTTGTTATTATTATCAATTCTGTAAGAACTTTAACCGAATTGAAAATATTGTATAACCAATCATAATGTTATCGGTAAAGACTTGAATTTTGTTTTTAATTAAAAGTATTTTGTAATTTATAGGTGAATTATTATAGAAATTATGAAAAAAACAATAAGATGCCAAATTAAATAAAGATAAATTTTAATATAGACAAATTACATAGTTTTTATCAAAATATTGTAAAATTCTGCTTATTAATGTGAATACTCGTAAACAATTAAACTACAAAAAGGCTTACAACTATTTTATTCAAACATGTTTGGATAAATCCATGCATAACTTTGAACTTTCGTGAATTTTCCTTCAATTAATTCTATTGGAATTACTGTTCAAGTGTAAGTTTCACGCAAAGAAATAACCCAAGTTTTACATATAATTCCGGTTTCTTTTTGAATTATTAAATTAGAATCAGCAGAGACAAACTGTTGAATCATTATAAAAATTGTGCAGCCAATTGTAAAAAAAAAAATTTTTTTTTGCATAGAATTTCTTATTATTCCAATAAATGTTTGAATTGTTTCTCTTTTTTTGTCGATAATATTCTGTCGAAGTAAAAATATTTTTGCCAATTTTAACCTTTGAATAAATTAAAGGGTTAAAATTTTTGTCATCTACATCAATTATGTTTTTATTGCTGTTAGGTGTTCTTCTTCTAATGTTACATTTATAGGACGCCCAAGAACAAATATGTCTTTAACTTGACACTCATGGATTTTTTGAAAGTGAGTTTTCAAAACTTTTAAAGAGTTGATCAATTTTAAAGTATTAAATATTTCCATCTCAATTGTCTTCGTACCGTGTACTATTTTCTTCAAATACCCATTCAAGTTCTCAAAGGGGAAAGCTGAGTATGTCCATAGTGGACCCCAATTTCTAACTGATTCAGCCAAATGCGTTATTATATGAAGATTAAGAGAACAATTATTTAGACCATAAAGTTTTCGAAAATCTGTAACAAATAAATAGAAGAGAGTTTCCGTTAAGTTTATTTCCCATGGATGGATTTTTTCTTGCAGTAAAATGTGCATTGCGTGCACAAGCAGTAAAAATGTTGATAATATTTTTTCTTCAGATATCCTTGCAATGTGACTGGAAA